CTAATATCATTAATTTTCAACGGGTTGTTAGATGAGGGCTTATAAGTTAGATATTGTTAATGGAATGCACCACCTGCAGCGCACACCTATATAATATATATGATCAAAAATGTAATAATATATGATGCATGTCATGGTGCCTAAAATCTAATATATACTATCAAAAGTTAAATGTAAATCGCGAGATTTTTTCGATTACCTGCACAATTACAAAATTYGATAACAGACTCGTCCGGAACTAACTGGCAACTGCAAATGCCACTGATAATAATTAGGTATATCTATACAGCATATAGGCACTTCACTTAGATCGGTATATAGTATATATGTTGATGTAAATTAAGTGTATATGTAGTTGGTGGGTAGAGACCGAAATTAAAAAAAAATATATATATGACATATGTATTATAATGTCGAGCACRAAATATAATACATATCACGGTGCCTAAAATCTATTTCACACACTAAAAAATTAAAAGGAAATCTCGAGGTTTTTCCAACCACCTGTAGCCCAGTCACACAATTCGATAAAAGGCTCGCAAAGAACCAACTGAAAAAACCTCCGATATACTAATTAGGCACCTGTATAAAAAGTCTGATGAAGTAAACCTGATGTGTGTATTATAATATAGTTGGCGGATGGAGGTACTAACCTATGTTAACTAATTTAACGCCGTCGTCCGAAATCGCGGCCAGGGCCTTGGACACGTTCTCCAACATCTGGTGCCGGTTGCCAGGGTTGTGGTTCCACGCGAACGCCTTACGCTGCTGTAAGTTCTCCACCAATTCGCAGAGGACTCGACCGTCGCACAGATCTTCCGCGAGGTTCGCCACCCGGTCGGCGGCCGGCACGTGCTCGTTCACCCAGTTCCTAAACGTGTGAGCCTGTATGTCCACCCACTGGTCTTCGTGACCCTTGATCTGCATGGTCTTGGCGGCGTGGCCCTCCGGACTGCGGGCCACCAGTCCGATGTGGGACGATATTCGCGACGGAGCGGCGGGGTCGGTGCGCATCATGTTCAGTGCGCTGCTGAAGTCATACTGAACCGTCTATATATGAACAGCCGCCGCGCCGAGAGAAATCGTTAACAATATATAAAATGATATTATTATTCGGTTGGGCGTGGGTCCCGCCGCCGCCGCCGCCGCAGTAGACGAGATATTATATACCTGCAGCAGTCTGTCGCTTGAAATGGAAAGTGAACGTCCCTCCCACCATAACCATCGGTTGCGCTAATACGTACAGCCCGTACAGGTACTTATAATATTTGTATACAAACGTGCGACAAGAAACGAACACGTATGTGTACTATAGTACATCACCTAGGTATACAGCATACAGTATGTGTCGCGCATCATTCTTCAGCTGTCCCGATCGTCTTTGAATTTTTCCTGCTTTAGTCGATGTTTTTTGGAAAACTTTACCACTGCAGCATAATAATGTATATTAATATCATAATATTTTCAATTATAACATTATTATTATTATTTTTTATTTTAATTCTCTGCGAAAACAAGAATATGTATATAAGTATTTGGAACTTAGCTTATATGTATACTATAATATTATTATATATTAATCTGTAATAAAAAAAWCTGTGAAAATTGTTACTTGTACTTTCAAATGTAGTGTTTACTGTTTACTTAACTTTGGACAACTACAGTACATATGTTTTATATACAGATCGTTCGGACATTTTTTCACTTACTTATCACTCACTTCAAATTTATTCATTTTTACAAACACACCATTAATATTAAAACATTCATTTCATAGTAGGTACTTTTATTGTTCCTTATGGATTTGTGAGCAAAAAWTTGTATCCCAATATTTGTTTTCACGTTTCTTAAAATTTTAAAATATTCTCTAAAGTTATTTTTTTTTTTTATGAATAAAATAACAATTAAATATTACCTTATATTTTTTATAGTATATAATAAAGTTTCTATTGAACAATTATATTCTAATACAGTAGGGAAAGTTTTGAAGTTTCCGAAAGAAATAGGCCGTGGGYTGGACTAGTAAATATAATTTAGTAATTATACTCGTAGTATAAGTATAACCAGGAAAGTCGTGGTTATATGTAAGACTTGACAAATATTACATCACGGTRAGACACTCTGTATATACAAAGCGATTCTTTWACCAGCGTTCGTTCATAGTGTATTTTGTAAAGTATTATATACAAAGATTGTCTAAAAAGTCAGTAACACGTATGAGTTCAGCGCATATAGGTACCCGTATTATCTGCAGTTAACGAACTTTTTTAAAATATCTTAACAATCATCATGATTGATRAATATGATAGTGGTTTTATTTCAAAGATCTATTTTCAAAGGTATAACACAATAGGGTTATTTTATTATTATTATTATGCTAAAAAGAACTAAGAACGATGTATAGCTGGACAAGTATAGCATTCAATGCGAATGAGATTACARACATTTGGTAGGTTTTTTTKAGTTATACATAGGTACTTATATATTTAGTTATTAGGTGTTATTATGTGTAGACTATAATATTATATTAATATATTGCATTGTCACTGCCAATGCGGCAATGCACAGGAATAGAAAAACAAATAATATATAGTAAACAACAGTTGCATCTAAACATCTGGTTATTKCTGATATATTGCATTAGTATTATAATGTTATGCATATTAAGCACCATTTCACTATGCAGGGACAATGATGAAATACTGAATTTAATAATGGGCGTAGCAACGGATACATAGGTAGGTATACCAATACCAAACTATACCTACTCATATTATACATTTAAAACTGCTAAGGAAACATTACAATATAGTACCCACAATGTTATCTCATTCAAACAAACGTACAACACAACAAATTTATGAACAGAAGAAACCGTTTTATGTTTTTATGATTAGAATATATTGCGAATTAACCTAATATAAAATTTTAAGTTTAGAAAATTATCTAAACCTGGTCGTAGATTTGTATTAATAYCATAAATTGTAAAGCGATATATGAGCAATTTAAAATTATAATATTTTTAACAATTATATAAGTTATAACACAATGAAATTAAAATATCAATACCTACAAAATATCCTAGATGGCTATAGATAATATTCTTACCTTTAAATTTGATAATATGGCAAGTTCAGTAAAGTTCAGTTCATATTGAATCACGAAATAAAATTTTCTGAGTGTAAATTTTGCTATGTTGTACATTTGATGGGTATGTATAAGTGCATAACCACATATTACATAACGATAACACTACAAGTAAGTATATTATTTTTCCTATTCGAATTTGAATAGACATCTTTAACTTTTAAGGAGTTTGTCCATCGAAATACAAACAGACAAATGAAACTTGAAAACATTCAAATTCGTTATTTCGTCATTTTAGGTATTGATCGTTCCAATTTTTAAATTTTTGTCTTACAATTCTGTATAGTTATTATTGTTATTAATCACTGGTTAAGGATACTTATATTATTAAATTAYATTTTATTTAAAAATTTAAGGAGAAAGTAATAGTCTACATTTGAAGAAGTGGTGAAGGTTGATCTTAAATTAACGTCTCAGCAAATTCAAAATATTGTGCTATAGGTTTAAACAATTTTTTATCGCATTACTAATTTTACAAGAACAATAGTCAAAATTAAAATATAAATAATATGTTTTAGTCAAAAAAACCATTTGAAGTCTGATATTCTTAGAAAAAGTTTTCTTATCAATTATTTTATTGGCATTGAGTATTTGAGACTTGGTAACTTATTTTAAAATTCGAATCATATGTATACTTCAATATTATTAAATGTAATTTCAAATATTTGAAAATAATTTATTGCACATTTATTTTTTATTATACTAAATATTCCTGAGTCATGACTAAACCACTATTATAAGGTCAACTAAGGTAAACAATATTTAATTTTTTTTACCTGCTATTATAAAAATAAGTGCTTTGCTATATTATATCCATCATGCAAAAAATTATTTTTTTACGTTAGTCAATGTTTTTAATTTATTGAAAAAAAAAAATAATAAAATACCAATCATCTTATGTATAGATTGTATGTTTGCTGATGTACAGTGTACACACAATGTAAAATTTAATGATTGCCAGCTATTATATACGTGAACTGATTATACAAAAGTTGGCCCTGAGGCAGAATTCTTGACCGATAGTTATTTTATGTTATAGACTATATTGTATACTATATAATATTTTAGTTGTCAATGAGTAATGACCAATAATAGCATCATTGTACAATAAGTTTGCATCAGCTAATTAAGCAGTGTATAAGTTTACTGTTTACAAAAATGTACCTACTAATCATAAATCTAGATAGGTTCATTGGAAACAATGTAGGTACCTAACCTATAGGTATAGTTCTAGTTCACGCTCACTAGTGGGAAATAATATTAATGAGAAATGTCTTTTTTTTATGAAGAAAATATACATTAGTTAAGCAACAATAATAACGTTAAAATAACAATGAAACTATGATATAAATTATTTTATAAGTTTATAAATTTTTGTATTGTTAATAGACTACGACACAAGTTKCGTTGAAGTCGTCTTGAAATTCGTGACGTACAGAATGTATTTCTGCTTAAGGGATTAAAGTAGGAGACTAGTCTGATGTGAAATCACTGAAATCTTTTATAAAATGTTTTAGCTTCTTCGTGCTCGAGGTCAAGCTTAAGATTAGCATTATGTAGAGTATCATTGTCCGTGAGAGGCGGACCTCAGTACATTATATTAATTATTCTACGTTAAGCTATATGCTCTGGAAAGAACGAATTTTACTAAATTTTAGTATTTGGCTTGGTACCAATATTAGAAACCATAGGTCCAGACTCCAGATACAGGTTATAGAGTAATGTTTTATAAATGAGTATTTTGATTTTTAAATTTGTAAATTTATCTTACTTATTCGTAAAATGACAAAATTATTCGGAAATCACGACTGCGAACGATACTTATCAGGGCGACCTTTTTAATAACACAATTGCGGACAAATGTTGCCAAATTTATAAATAATACTTTGATAATGTGGGAATTCTTGGCGTATTAAAATTACTTTAATCAAATWAACTATTCAGAGCTATAATGATTCTAAAAATCATTAAAACGTATTAGCAGCGCCGTCGCGTGAACCCGACAAATGTCTGATTTGGCGGGGACTCGCGGTTTTCGTTGTTTTTCGTTATTTTTCGTAAACTATAATATTTAAAATCTATTATAATAATTTATTAAACAATATTTTTTATAATAATAATATTAATAATATTATGATATTTAATTGTATTAAAATCAATAATATTAGTAATATTAGTTACTAAACAGTGTAAGCTAAAAATATTTAATAGTTTTTAGAAATTAATTCTTAAATATTTAATTCGCATGTAAAAATAAAAGTATAACATTTAATTTGAATTGAATAGTAAAAAATGTATTAAACGTGATTGTGGTCAGTTTTAAAGATTTTATTACCAGGGCCTCGCAAAACCTGACGGCGCTGCGTATTGGAATACCTTTTTAAAAACTATTAGTTATCATTACAGAAGAAAGAATATATAAATGTAACTATTTTTGATTTTTAAACTAACTTTTTTCATACTTTTGTAATTGTATTAATATTGTGGAATTTTATGAATAGGTATGTACACTGTACAATAAGCGTTTATAGTATTTTAATTTATTCAACATATACCTATAACACTTTAATTTTTGATTTTTAACTTTTTATAATCATAATATTGTAGATGTTATAGAAATACGATGACATCAGTGTCGTTATAGGGACATTAATTTTCAATTATCAACAATTGTATTTTTATTTATATTGTTATTATTATTAATATTATATACTTTTCGTAATCACGCGTAGATATTTATCTTAAACCAATTAACCATGTTGTAGTCGATGCACACTAGAAATCCTAACAATAAGCCGATCATTAAATTTAAAAATCGTTGAACTAGATAACTTCACTCAACTTGGCAACGTTTTACTAAATTACTTCCGGAGTCGTGTCTCTTTTTGGGTGCAA